GAAAGTGCTCTCACAAAAAAATCAATCTTTTAAGAAAGTTATTCTCCAAGGAGAATATAGGAAGGACCATTTATTGTACACTATGTGGAGCGTTTTAAGCATATGTTAAATATGTGTGTGAAGGCCTCATGCTATAATTATCTAGTGCCTCCTTACAGTTAGACACTGATGCAATGCTAAGTCAGTTGCCAATCTAAGTATGACCAATCTTGAGTTAAAATGTATCATATTTTAAAATGTTGATTCAGCTCCTTTTTGCAGGCTGCAATTCTCCAGTTATCAAAATCACTTCATTGCCGACGAGGTTTGGTTAGTTTGCCTGTTTGTTGGTAGGACAGGAAAAACTCCTGACCTGATTTTCATGAAACCTGGTGGGAAAGTGCAGCTTCGGTGAATAAAGAACCCATGACACTTTGTAGAGGGTCCTAATCATGGGTGAATGAAAGCGCACAGGCTGCTTTAACCCTTTAACTGCCAGACCAAGAAAAAAAGCTATGGAAAAATTATTTGTTTGCATTTTTGTATCAAATGGGCCACAAATAACCACTAACAATTTACATTTTTTTGACTGACAACACAGTTTTGTTTGTATGAGCAATTTGAGTTAGAATTGGCCTAACAGGAAACCACTGGCTTAACAGCAAATGTCTATATCCTGTGTTTGCCTAACTTGCTCATCTGTGTGCAACTTTGGGCTGAATATATATAAATTAGTATCACTCTTTCACTCTGAGACTCATAAGGCAGTACTATATTTAGTAATATTACCACGAATATAGCCATTTATTTACCATATTTTATTGGAAAACATCTCTGAAACTCTGAAAAAGTCATATTGCTAGTTTACCATAAAAAGCCAATTCGACCGATTGGTTGAGCATATTTTCCAAAAAATAATTACACTCTTGTTAAAACTTTTGTGCATCAAGTTATCTAAATATGTTCAGTCAGTGCTCTGGCACTAAAATATGACAAAAAGGATATGGTTACCTTACAAAACTTGACCAAAAAGAGTGATTTCTTCAGTGGTAATTTTTAGCATTTTCAACTTTCTCAGTGCAAGCTAGCTGAAGGGCTTTCTGTTCGAACCACAGTGACATCTAGAGGTTGTTTTGTGCATAACATGTCAACCAGAAGGTAGAGCTGGCTGAATCAGATGGAGTTCAACTTCTTTTTTCAACAAGATATCAAGACACAAAATGTGCTCCACTAAATGGTGGCGCTGGCAGTTAAAGGGTTAAGGCACATTGAATGTCCAGAAAAGTCCAAAAGAAAATACTGTAGTAAAGCATGTAAAAAACACAATATCATACTATTGATGCCCTTCCTTAAACTTCCCTTTGGTCCACTTGAGAGTTTGTAAACATTTGCCCTTAACTAGGATAGGTACCGTCAGGGGCGCCGTAAAGGGGTGAAAAGTTAGGACGATTCTAAGGGCCCGTGACTGACGGGGGCCCCAAAATGTTTAGAACATTAAGAAAAAAATGTTTAAGTAACCTTTCATCAATTCTCAATAATTAACATTAATAGAACGTTATATTGATAAAGTACTCACTAAACTTACGATTAATTTAACTTATTTTCTTCCAAAAGTTAATTATTCAAAGCCTCTGTACACCCCCTTCTATTTACATGTAATGGTTTGGTCCTGCCTCCAAACGCGGTGCGGCACCGGCACTTCAGTGAAAACATGTGAGGAGAGATGCTAGTACTTAGCCTACACTTGTGTTGTACGATGTCTCAACGACTCAAAAAGTCAGGCTCTAAGAAAAGAANACATGGGGTTGGAGCGGCCGGTCTAACGTATAAAAACATGGATTCACAATGCTAGTTTTGGCACAGAAGAAGGTTGAAATATATATTCGAATGCATATGATTATAATTATGAGCCTGCTAGGCGTCCAGAGACCAGGAGCAGCCGATTGTTGTTCCAGCGGGGTCTTAAAAGTATTGATACTATTGATATGATAAATCAATTTAGAGAAAATTTTAAGGCTATTTAAAAGTATTAAACGGTCATTGTCCAAGGTATTAAGAAGGTCCACCAGCAGCGACAACATGAACACCCTTTAATTTACTGAAACGGACAGTCGGGAAACCCCCCAAGGCGGGCCCATGCATAGCGCGCCCGTAAAATGCTGCTTCTTATTTTAAGTTTCGTTATTGCCTTGCTCCGCTCATGTGGGGGGGGCACTAAAGGACTGCGGTAACGGTAACGGGTCCCAAGGTGGGTAGACGGCATACCGCATACGGCTCTGGGGGTCCAACGGCTCCGTGGTGTGCCCTATATGATCATTTTCTAGATAATGATGAAATAGCCCCTTCTCCCTTCCCCACGTCTCCTGCTGCTGCTGGGCTGTCAGAAGAGGGGAGGAAAAGAGAGGCAGGCACGTTTATTTAATATTATTATACAGAGAACAGAGGTCGTTATCAAATTTGTTTTAAAAGCTCAATAAATAAACAAAGAAGAGCCTGCCTTACCGGCACTTTTCAATTTTTGTACGGAAGATTTAAACTTTAACGGGACCATGTTGGAACCGGCAACATTTTTTTAGGAAACTTCTGGCCTCACGGTTCCCTCGTTCTTGGAAGAGGCGGAGGAGGTTGGGGTGTTTTCATCTGCTGGTGGACTACCTGAGAGATATTACAGCAGGAGAACACGCCGTCCACCGCGGAGGAATAAACAGAAGGGCCAACCATGCTCCGGGTCTTCTTCGCTGCTTTTTGGTGTTTATTTTGTGGCGGCAGCAGCGCCACTTACCAGACCTGCATATGTACTACAGCGTTCCAGCATTTCCAGCGTTAAGTGTGAACGGACCACATTAATTAATCGACATGGTGAATTGAAGACTTTTTTTGGTGTTTGCGTATGCGTTTTACCGTATGCCGTCCTCGTGGGGCCGGTGGGTCTAAGCCAAATATTATCCGGTCACAGAGATCTGCTATTTTAAAGTAAGTCAACACCATATCGACCCTTAAATATAGTCTATATTAAGGCAACGAGAAAAAGTCTTAACATAAATATCGTCTTTTTGTAAACATAGACAAATGTGGTGAGGGTGATGGACGTCAGAGGGCATCGTCCTATGCTTGCAGGCTTAGCCCCGACCAGCCCCAGCCCAATTTAAAACCCCTGGGTATTTGTGGAGGGAGCCCTATAGGCATTACCCCGCTGAAGCTCATCAAAGTTTAACATATTTCATAGTTCAAGTTGTGTCAATTTGTTTTGTTTATTGGTCACTAATACTGGTTTGCTAATGGTTTCTGAGGAGTTTTACTGGAATGAAAGAGGCAACCAGTCTGCAGAAGCAAAAAAGCAGCATACTGCATTAACCTGACCTTCACCAGAGAGGTTGAAGTTCATGTGGAAAGGAGGCTTTTCAGTAGTTCTGTCTGCACTCTGTTACGTTGTGCATATCTTACAATCAATATTAGTCAATGTGAGTTTAAAGTGTGTCGCCAATGTAACCGGTTAGAATCGAAGTTGCAGAGAGAGCTTAAAATGTATGGAAAGGTCTTAAAAAAGGTCTTAAAAGTATTAAATTTGACTTCAGGATTCCTGCATATACCCTGAGCCAAGGATTAGAAAAAAATAACGGGCCATCGGAGAGAAATGGAGTTTGGTGTGATGCGAGAACAGAGCAGCTGTCTTGGTGACGTGACCGGGCGTAGCTATCAGACAGCTGTTAGCTAAGCGTCGTCGTCACATCCCAACATTTTAAAGTTAGCTATCATATATTCAGGCCTATAATTTAAAGTAGTATTGATTTATATAGTAACGTTACTGGCAGGACTGTTGATACTGATCCATAACGAGAAACTAATGCGCAATTATCAGCCGTATCTCGCGTTACCTAATGCAACTCCACACTACGGTGCTGTGTACCGGAGGAGAGGCGCGAGATACGGCTGATACTTGACGATCTGGCGGGGAAAGGTTGTGGAGCCTCCGTTGATATGTCGTTGTAAATGGCTTGATGGAAAGCAGGTGTGTAGTCGGGGAGGGTGCACAGCTGATTGTAGCATGTGAGTGGAGGTTGAGCCGGGAGCCAGGAGTGACAGCAATCACGCCCACACAAACAACACAGACAGGGGGAAACAAACAAACACAAAGGAGACGGCTGGAGCAGTACAGCCACCACAGCGTTACCTAATGCAACTCCACACGGTGCCGTGCACCGGAGGAGAGAGAGAGAGCAGAGGAAGGGGGGGGAGAGAAGTAATACGGTTTACTGCTAAAGCTGTGGAGAGTATGTGCTGCAGGGAGGTGGATGCACAACGCACCCAGGAACGAAAGCTAGCTCCGGTCCTTTTCCCGTGAGGGAAACTGTGGACTCGATGTCCTGACAGGCTGGAGTTTGTGCAACCTGCAACCTGCACAAACTCCAGCTCACCATGATTACAAATGGTGAAATGCAATGTAAAATTACCGAAAAAATACCAGCTCACTAAAACACAACCGCTCAAACCAACTACCAACTACTACCGCGGATTGGGCAGAGAAGGAGTCAGAGAAAGTTGCTCCCCCATGTCGTAATATGACGCATTTGACGTATGACGTTAAAAAAAAGAGCAGTTTTTAGTAGCAGAGCTCAAAACGGCTCCTTTTCCTCTGAATTCCTGCCCTTATGTCTCCCAAAACATATCGAATCCTGCATTAACATTTTTAATTGTAATTTTCAGGCAAGGTTGAGCATAAATGTAGTAAAAAAAAAAAACCTGCAAGTTGCTCTTTAAGTGTTACAAAGTCATATGACAAAAAAGTTACGAGACCCAATAACTAGTTGCAACAGCAGCCTTATAACATTTTAGTAAGCTGTGGGTAATTTCAATGTTTACAATAAGAATATCAATAATCTATAGACTTGTTTTACTTTGGAGAATGCTCATCATCTGTGGAATACAAACCATTGAGATAAGCAAAGAAAATACATCAAATACGTTTCAAATCTGAGTTGTCTGCCGGGTTTGTACACATGCGTGGTTTTGTGTCCCTGCAGGAGAACATAAGGAAGTTTAACCGGAACAGGAACGTGTTCTGCAGCATCCTGACAAACCGCTGCTGCTCTGCAGTCGGGACTTTGTTTGATGCAGACACCATCATCTTCTACGACACAGATCTCAATCCCAGCATGGATGCCCGCGCCCAGGAGTGGTGTGACAAAATAGGACGTTCAAAGGATATACACATTTACAGGTGACATCATCAACACTGAAAATTCAGTTTGACTTCCTCTATATTGACATGTTACCTAACACATCACTCGTAAAACTCCAGATGTGAAATACCTAAATCAATATTTAAGGCCTTTGTTGCTACTTCTGGTTTCTTTGTGTGTGTGTGTTGCCCAGGTTGGAGAGTGGGAACTCCATTGAAGAGAAGCTGCTGAAGAATGGCACCAAGGACCTGATCCGAGAGGTGGCTGCTCAGGGTACCGACTACACCTTGGCGTACCTCACACAAGTAAGATGAATTCAATGTGGTCTTGTCCTGAAGTTTCAGTCACTCTTCACACCTCTATTCTTTTGAAGACACATTACTATACCTGTATAACTGACCTGACATCATTTCAGCGGACCATCCAGGATCTGTTCGAGGTGGAGGCCGGCTCAGGGGAGAAGGTGGAGGAGTTTGTGGTTCTTCACCAGGAGCCGTCGGCCTCTGAGGCCATCTCTCCCAGAGTGGCTAGACCATACATCCAGGCTCTGCACAGCATCAACCTGGATACCCTGCCGGAGGAGGAGGAGGAGCAGCAGCATGAGGAAGAGTTAGCAGGCAAAGAGTCAAAGGACAACCAGGAGGAGGAGAGCAAAACTGACGAGGAGCCCGCTCAGCAAGAGGAACTGAATGCAGTCATACAACAGGTACCTTCACTTTTTTACATATCGCTTTGAATCTAGTTGAAACGGAAAAGTCCAAATACAAGAAATGAGTCGATACAAAATGAAATTCTGTTTGATTGTCTTGCTGAGTTTTGATTTGTATTTTCTTCCCTTAAACAGCTCACACCAATCGAAAGATATGCCCTACATTACCTGGAGTACCTCCATGTCAGTGATGACCAAACTGCTCTCAAGGTAACTTACACTGCCATGTTACCAAAACCCTTTTGAATGATATAGAGGCATTTACTATAGTATTTACATGTGTGCAAATCAGTCCATTTGTCATCTAATCCTGCTCTACTGCGTTGCTTTTGATACATTTGCCTGGTGTTTCTTCCCCTCAGGAGAGGTTGGAGTGCTCCAAGAGAGGCTGGGAGCTGCAGCAGCTCCAGAAGCTGAAGGAGGAGGAGGAAGAGCGGCACTTTATGGAGGGAGATGAAGATCTCTTCACCTACACAAGAGAGGATGCCTACAACATGGTGGGTGGCCATTTGGATCTCAACTAATCAAACATGAAGAGCTGTGTGGATTGCTATGAACTGTTGTTGACATGAACCTTTTCTCTGCGCTTCAACAGGAGTATGTGTTTGATGCAGAGGACGGCCATACAGAAATCATGCCGGTAAGACATCAACTGTGAAAACAGGGCAATAGTGATTTTTCTTTTTACAGAAGTCCTTAGCCGCTTTCACACCAAGTACTTTGCCGTACTTAGTTCCCAGCACTTAGTTCCCAGCACTTAGTTCCCAGCACTTAGTTCCCAACACTTAGTTCCCCCATGGAATCGATCGCGTTCACACCGGAATAAGTTCCCTGAGGGAAGGTTACGCGGAGTTGGGGGACTGGCTTCAGTAGAAGCCATGTTTTTTTTTGTGTTGCCATAAGTTATTCTCTCTCCGTTGGTGCGCTGGGCTAATGCTAATGCTAATAATGTTAATGCGAGCAAATACAATGGCGGCTTCAAAAAACTTTTCCGAGTTTTACGGGGCTTGGTTTGCAATTCGCCCAGCCAATAAGAAATTGGAACTTTTTTTCTCCCAGGAAAGTACCACCTCTCTAGCAGGTACTAAAAAGGGGGTAAAAGTTATCATGAACTCTCTTTTTGGTGTGAACGCAAAATCCCAGGAACTATCGGATCTAAAAGGGAAAAGTACTCCGGTGTAAAAGCGCCTCTTTTATTTTCTGAATGTGGATCTTCATTATTCTCTTCCTAATGTTGTTTATTTTGATTGACCCATTCAAAAGTCCCACTCTGTCTTCTGCCTTTGTGCTGACTTGTGATTTTCCAACGCAGCTTTGGACTCCACCCACACCACCGTCGGATGACAATGACATTTACATCGACTCTGTGATGATGCTGATGTATGACACTGCCCCCATGCCGGAGTCCAAGCTGCCTCCTGTCTACGTCCGCAAGGAGCACAAGAGACTCAAGATGGACCCCTCAGGTGAGATGAGATTTATATTTAAGGTGAAATAGTTCTAAACGACTTGCATACATCTGTAGTGTCACTGCCGGTGTCTCTGTCCTGACCCGATGTGTTTGTCCAGCAGCAGCCAGAAAGAAGAAGAAGGGCCACGGGGAGACGGTCATCCCCCCTCGCTCGCTTTTCGAGAAGGCCAGCATGCTGAAAGTTCGCCGCGAGGGCAAAGACCAGAAGAAGAACTTCTCTCTCAAGCAGCAGGCTCCCTTTGCCAAGCCCCTGCCCTCGCTGGTTAAACCTGTCATGGAGGCGGGTCAGGACAACCCGGAGTGGCTCATCAGTGAGGACTGGGCTCTGCTTCAGGTACTGGCACCTCTCACCACTACTCAAATGAATATATCTGGAATTGCACTTCACTTCAAAGAGGTTAAATGATATGTTCATTCAATTTCCAAATGCCCTTGCTGTGTGTCTGACAGGCTGTAAAGCAGCTTCTGGAGTTGCCTCTGAACCTGACAATCGTGTCTCCTGCACACACTCCTAACTGGGACCTGGTGAGCGATGTGGTGAACTCCTGCAGCCGCATCTACCGCTCGCCCAAACAGTGTCGCAACCGCTACGAGAACGTCATCATTCCCAGAGAAGAGGGCAAGGTAATGGAGAGGGCAGTCACCCTATTTTGCTGTAAAACTCAATTCCTCACCGTGTTCTCGTCTAAATAATGTCTCTAACTATTTTTCAGTTGGTGTATGAGGCAAACCCCAAGAAAAAAACCAAGAGCATATACAAGGTACCCTATTCTGGCATTTTGATCGATTCTGCTTTGCTCCTGAAATTGTTGATTAACTTTGTTTCTGTGTTTTCTTTGCTCAGTCTAAGAACAGCCGCCCTCTGAGGACCTGTCAGATCTACACACAGGATGACAACGCCACTCACATTCAGCTCTACAACAGCCGCTTTGAACTCATGAAGATCATCGCCAGCAAGAGGAGCCCACCAATCAAACCACTGTAAGGGCTGATGAAGTGAATGTAAAGTCTCATAGCGGAGCTCACACCAAAACATGTGACATGTAACCAGGCTGTTATTGTTCAGATTGGATATGTCCTTCTCATCTGTATTCATTTAATTGATTCTGCTTACAGGCTTGGCATGAATCCATTCCAGAAAAATCCCAAACATGCCTCTGTTTTGGCAGAAAGGTTTGTTTAATGTCGCTGTATTTGTACCATAAACATCTAAGATATGAACCTATAAATAAAGATGAAAGTATAACATTGTTTTTCTTCTCTTCAGTGGAATCAGCTATGACAAGCCCCTCCCTCCCATTCAGGTGGCTTCTCAACGTGCTGAACGGATCGCCAAGGAGAAAAAGGTGATTGTTGGCAATGAATATGTCCACAAATGGCCATAGATCCAAGTAGTGCTTGATGTCTGCTGAACGATGTGTTTGCATTTGTGTTTGCAGGCCCTTGCAGAGCAGCAGAAGGCTCAGCAGTTGGTCCAGCAGCAGCAGGCGGGGGCCCCCGGGGCCCAGGTGGCCCCCGGCCAGGCGCTGACTCCTGCTGCCGGCCAGGCTCTGGTCCCTCAGGCTGCCACAGTGCCCGGAGCTGCTGCGGTGCCTAATGCAGCTGTTCTGGTGAGAATCAAAACATGCTCTAATCAATATTTTTCTATGTATAGTGAGATCCAAAACAAGATGTTCTTAAACATTTGGTTCATGTTTTTCAGGCTGGAGCCATAAAGAATGCCACTGTTGGCACCACCATCCAGGCTGGTACGCTTACACACATATGGTTCACTTTACAGAGCTGATGCTGTTCCAATAGTTTATTCATTGCTCTTTGTTTCTTCCAGCCACTGTAGGGGGGAATGTGATCGTGAACACATTAGCTGGAGTTCCCCCAAGTCCTTTCCAGGCCAACAAACGGCTGGCATCTCCCGTCATAACAGGCACCCTCTCTGTGAGTCATGTTCTTATATCACTGCTGCTCTGGCTTAACTCAGCCTCCTACTGATTTACAGTAATTCATGACGCATTAGACGGCATCATGCACCCTGCAGACTGAATGTTCATTACAAGTGTTGGAGCCTTTGCACATTGGGTTTATTTTGTTGTTGTTTGTGCAGCCTGCTGGTGCCGCTGGAGCCCAGGTGGTCCACGCTCAACAGAGGACCGTCACCGCTGCTGCAGCCCCTGCAGAGGTGGTTGCCATAGCTACAGGTGTTCGAGCTGTTACCCCAGTTACGGCATCAGCAGTAGTTACGACCACTCTGAGTCCGGTGCAGTCTCAGACGCGCCCTCTGCTCACTCAGGTCACACAAGGTACCAGATCAAAGGCTTTTCTCTGATAAGACCAGCACCTGCTGCTCTTTTAAATCTGACAGTTCTGACTTATCTGCTCTCCTTCATCCAGCCGCAGGGATGCAGTTGCAACAAGGGAAGCCTCTCACTCCAGCCCACCTGCAGATGCTCCGACAGCAACAGCTGCAGCAGCACCAACAGCAGCAGGCTGCTTCCCCACAGATCAAAGCTGTAGGCAAACCCCAGGTACCAGCATCTTTACACAAGATGCACAAAATGTGACTTTTTAAAACATCTCACATATGAGCTGCACTAATAGAAATGTTCAGTGTGATGGCATTAATGGTAGTACTTCCGATTTACTCAATAAACAATGCAATTACACAGCGCAAGGGTGTGTACAGCTAACTGACATTAACTCTGTGATCTGTGTGTTTACAGGAGTTGTTGAAGATGCACAAGCATAAGTTGCAGCTGCAGCAGCAGCAACAGGTAGCTGCAGCAGTGGCAGCAGCGCAGGGCCAACAGGCTGCAGGGGCCCAGCAGGCCCCCCAGGGTCAGACTGTACAGACCACACAGGCCAATCCCCAGCTGGCAGCAGTGGCAGCTCCCAGACCTGGAGCCGTGCTGACCGGCGCCACGGTGGCCAACCTGCAGGTGGCCAGGATGGTAAGATGGTGCTGATTGATGTGGGAGACAATAAAAGATTTCTTGCAACAAGTTCCCCACAATATGAATACAAATACCAGCTTTCTGTAGGTAGATTGTAAGATTATAAATAATATAATCTAGACTAAGTTGTTGTCTATGGTACAACCGTTTTATCTTTTTTGGTTATTTGATTGGCCGAGGTGTAGTCCAAACAAGTTGATGTATAACAAGATCATACAGTATGAGAAAATTCAGTGTAATTTTCCACCAAAAACAATGTCTTTATTCTGTTATAATTTCTTGATGTAAGTTCTTAATCAATACTTTTTTGTTTTTTAGGCTCGACTGCCCACTCAGGCAGGACAGACGGCTCAGGTGACCCTCACCAAGCCCCCAGTGGTCTCTGTGCCAGCGGTGGTCTCTTCAGCTGGCGTCACTACACTGCCAGTCACTGTAGCAGGCATCAGCGTGGCTATTGGCCAGAAAACAGGTGTGCTAGAAGTCTGATGGATAGGGGACCTTTTGTCTATAGGCGTACTTTGCCGTACTTAGTTCCCAGTACTTAGTTCATCAGAACTCTTTAGTTCTGATGAACTAAAGAGCAGAGCGTTCACACCGGAATAAGTTACTGAGGGAGGATTAGTTAAATGAAGCCGCTGACGTCACTTCTTCTGCTTTGGGTGTACTGGCAGGCCGCAAACAACTTCACGGCGTATACTGCCACCCGAAGTCCCCGGCCGGAAGCCCCGGAGTTGGGGACTGGCTTCTACTGAAGCCTTCCGAGTAAATCGCCAGAACGCCGACTTCTCCTCATCTCCACCGCTCCCATGTTTTCTTTTGTGTTGCCATAAGTTAGTTTCTCTCCGTTGGTGAGCTGGGCTAATGCTAATAATGCTAATGCAAGCAAATAAAATGGCAGCTTCACAAAAACTTTTCAGAGTTTTACGGGGCGTGGTTTGTAATTCGCCCAGCCAATCAGAAATGGGAACCTTTTTCTCCCATGAAAGTACCTGCTCTCTAGCAGGGACTGAAAAGGGGGTGAAAAGGTTCTCATGAACTCAATTCTAGTTCTGGATTTTTTGGTGTGAATGCAACATTTCAAGAACTATCGGAACTTTACTGGGAAAAGTACTCCGGTATGAAAGCGTCTTATGACTTTGACTAGATTGTTGCTCCTTACAGTTACCGGCCACTTAACAGTTCAAAATGACTTTTTTAAATAATGTTTTGCTTTTATTTTGATCATATATTTATTTTTGCTCAATATATGATCCAACAATGATTAGAATCTGGGAAAACAATATTTGTTTTTGCTTGGGTTTGCATAATTTTAGTAGGACCTCTTTTCCGACAAATGTGCTGTTATCATTATCACAAATGTTTTAATTTTGTTCCTAAATGTCAAATATATCTTTCTTTCTCCTCTGTCAGGGGGGCCTGTGCTGTCGCCGTCCTTCCCCCAGATGCAGATGCTCCAGATAAAGAAGCAGCATCAGCAGCAGGTGGCCGCCGCGGCGCAGCAGAAGGCCGGCCAGCCGCAGCTGGGACAGACCACTGTCCAGCAGAAGGTAACGCTAGAACATTTGAATTAATAGTTAAAAAAAACATGTATTCAGTCTCTGTCTACAACAGAAACAACAAATGCAGTGTATCAAAGATAAGAACAGAAATTGGTAAGAATTTTTGTTTAGGATTTAGTTTAGAAGTGTCTTAATCCCCAGCCCCTGCAGTCCACAACATTTTGAAATGTCCTTAGACATGATACTAAACCTTAAATGTAAAACAATAATCAATGGCAACTGTGTGTGTGTGAATGTGAGTCTCGTCATAAGGAGGTGGCACTATCTATGAATGTATGTGAATGGGTGAATGCTGACTTGTGTAGATATAAAGCCTGGTCTTAAAGACTATAAAAAGCCCTTTGTCAGTCCAGTCAAATGACTATTAAAGAAGTTATTTTGTATATTGATTGTTGTGCTATTATTTCTTAATGTTTGCATATGTATAAATGTGTCTGTTGATTTTGTATGTTATACATATGTTTATATATATTTGTATTTTTGTATTCGGGATTGTGGGAAACGGTATTTCGGTCTCTCTGTCTGTACACACAAACTGAAAGATTGACAATAAAGTTGCCTTTGATGAATGTGAATGGAGTAACTGTCGTGTTATTTCTTTAGATCGGCGGCCAGCAGGTCACAGTGCAGGCAACCCAGCCGGCCCAGCAGTCGCAGCAGAAGCTGACGTACGCTACCACCACCCAACTGCAGTCAGGGATCAAGACCCAGTTCTTAACTACACCCATGGCTCAGAAACCCACCGTAGCCCAGCAGGTACCTGATCACTGGAGCTCACTATTGAACAGTAAATATTCGCAGGTGAACAGAGGGCGTGTGTGTTGATATGAGATGTTCTTGCTTACCTCTCTTATCAGGTGGCTAAGCTCCCACAAATAGTGCAGCCGCAACCCACCGTGGCCAATATTCAACAAATTGTGTCGTCTCCACAGCAGGTAAGGGCTTTAGGCTGAGCTGTTTAACCTCTGTTATTTATGCATCCATATTCATTTATCAGGGACATAGCACGTTACTCACATCCTTGAATGCCTGGCTGAGGCAAGTTGAATTAGAATGATTGTTTATTTAATCATTTTGACATTTAAACCAGGCACAATAAACAAAAAGAACGATAATAACTAAACCACACAGGACCAAAGAAGTATAAGGGTCAGCCAAGGTTCCTGCCCGCTCTTTATTGGCTTTTCCTTCGATCAGGCTGGACCGGGTTCACCTGAGAGATAAGACCTCATGAGTCAAAGTACATCATAACAAGTGTGTTAGAGGGGTATAACAAAACCAATAAAGCTTTTACTGCAGAGAAAAGGATCACATCAGACCTCTGAAACAGGTTGTTTCTTTTTTTACATTTGACTTGTTTATTGCTTTCCTTTACTTCCTCTTGTGGATGGACTCTCCCTTCACTGCTGTAAAACTGGACATCTTCCCGCTGTAGTACTTAATGTACTGACACACCAAACCAACATCAAAAAAACTACACTTGCCTCACATTTACTGCACCTTGGCCAACACCGCAAAGACTGCTGCCACATATCTTGTAATGTATGCGCCTGAATAAGAGGAAATAACTCCATAACAGCGGGACATGGAATCTGTCATTCAAGAAGGGAAACGTAGAATTCATCATTGAAATACAATGGCCATTTTCACACCATCACGCTTACTGTCATTCTAGAGGGCCGTGGCTTTTTGAAAATATCCATAGAAGGATAAGATAAGGATGTTAAATCAAAAGTGACTCGTTCTGCTCCCTCAGGACATGAATTGTTTGTTTTCCTCTCGTCCGTTTCTCTTCATGTGAGCCATTTAGCTCAAGCAGAACAGCCAATCAGTGATTTATGTGGATGTTGGAAGCACTTGGTTTGTTTGATCCTTCATGAAGGTGTCTCCTCTGAGGTGTTCTGGTTGAGTTGTCGTCGCGTGTACCCCCCCCCGTCCTCCCCCGCCCCTCGAGCTCCAGGCTCGCAGGACGGTGACTCTGACCCAGGCGGCGGGGCGGTGCGCACTCTGGCCCAGGTGCAGGATGACTCCTGCGGAGAGATCTAGCAGGCGGGCATGGGTGCAGGCAGGATCCCCAGCAGAAGCTCCTCCGCAAGCAGGTGGGTGGACCGCAGCCAGCTCCCCCCCAGGGATCAGAACGCCCCCCCCCCACAGCCCCGCCCAGGCAGCCTGCCGACGCCGCGGTGCAGCCCGCTGCTCCAGCCGCCAACAGCCCGGGCCCGAAGGGGTCAAGCTCGCCATGGGGGGGGCATCAGGGCCAAAACCCCCGCCAAGCCCAGCAGGCTAGGGAGACGCGCACTCTCGATGAATCTGATGTGTTTTCCTGCGAGTACAGATGTGAGGCGGGTTTGTTAAGGATCCAGACAGCAGTAAAGCAAAGAGACAGACTCACGTTTGGTTAACAGTTCACACCAACCTGTTACCTCCACTTCAAGACCATAGACTAACTGTTCCACAGGATCATTTCGAGTGTCAGACCTGTCATGAATCAACCACAGCTTCTTGTGGGATCCATAAAGTTGCTGAGTTAGAACTTTTGTTAGCTGCTATTCTTTTATTGGGTACGCTAGGGTGTCGTGAAATGCAGGAAACGTCTTCGCCCTCAAGCAACTGGCCCAACCACATGAAAGACAAGACACAGGCAGTCACTGCCTGTCAAGTATGATGATATGATTATTACTCAAGAGAAATCTTGAGGGCGAGGACTTGTGGGTATTCCTCGTTGATATTGGGATCTGTCCATTAGAATGAGAGGTGTATTCAATAAATAGCTCCCTTTTATTGTCGTAATTCCCTTGTCTGTCGTATAGAAACTGGGAATGGGGAGGAATAAGATGCACGTTCGGCTTTCAGTCATTTGTTATTTTATTGCAGGGCAAATAACTGTCACATGTACTTGTAGTATTGTTGTGTTTTGTCATGAATTGTCCTTTTTTATTGATGTCAAGAAAAAAAAAATGTAAATATCAATGAAAACATTCTGTAGCTTGTAGAAGTAGGTCGTGTTTTCATTTGGGTTATATGTTCAGCCTAATTGTAGACTAACAGTGTGTGTTTGTTTGTACTATACAAATTCATGCTTTTTTCCTTTGATTTTTTTTTCATTAAATCCGGTTGTAGAGTACTCTTGAAATGGTTGTGGATTCTATATAACACATCTCCTCGTTTGATATCAGTCCTAAACATTGGTTGTTCCAAAAAATCTGGAGGTGTCAGTGCGTTATGTTGGAGTAAGTTGGGTTGCGTCTAGGTTAGATAGCGGCTATGCGATGTATTTTGTGGGTAGGTGACTAAAGAGGAACTGGGAGGCAGGGCACGTTGCGCAGGCAGGATCAGACTGAGCAGCAAGTGACGGGAGTCAAAACGCTCGGACAGTTTAGGGTCTTAGTATGAACAGGTGAATGTTGCGCATGGTGGTGTCTCCTACACGTGGTAATGTCGTGGTATTTGTTGTTGGTCATTGACTATCGGGTCATTGGTAGCGATGATTGAGCAATGTTTGTCGAAATTGAGATCAGAAAGTAATCTCATTTCAGCGGCGATAAGTGGTTGGTACTCAGTAGAGGGTGTGACACGGTGTGTAGAAGGTGAGTTTCAGGTCTGGATATTCGACAGACATTCAAGCTAGTCTTCGTGAACACGAGTGCGTTACGAGCGTTGTGTGTTAGGTCTTGTCCCCTTGTGAGCTGCAGTGCAGGACTCGCGTGATAAGAACCCCGCTCACTGCATCTGGGTGATTTTCGCTACATTGTGTTCTTTCTGGTGTGAGAAGTCTTGTAAGTCTGTACAAAGCCAACTACTCCTGTCGGATGAAA